GTAAGTCTTCAACCTCGGAGAATAAATTAAACTGATTAATGGAATTAGGTACCTTTTGTCCTCAAACAAGTCCTGCAATTTTCTCCCACTCTCCCTTTTGTCTCCCCCGTCCCTGTTTGGATGCATTTGGATTCACGGTGAGACAGAACGAACAATGGTACTCGGTGGAAACAATGCGGTTCAATAATCCCTCTATCTCATCAACTGGATTTCATGGACAGATATCTGAATTCTATAAATAGAATTGTTCATGAATACTGAAGAAACGCACAGATGAATGGAAATTCAATTTCATTAAATCTCAGCATATTTCGCGAAGATTTGAAGCGCCAGAACTGTTGCGTTTGTCCGAAAAAAATGGAACTGCGAACTATTGCATAAAAATCGAATTATGAACGCAGAGAAAACGAAGGTTTTATTTTCAGGAACATGTCACTGAATGGAAAAACTCCATTGGGAAACTTATCGTCAATTATTGGTGATATGGGACACTGACTAAAATAACCCATTAGTGATTTCTATCACTGAAATTTGATGATAGATTTTCTAAAAATTAGAAATGTATCCCTGACAATCAGTGACACGTCAAGAAAATTGAACCTTTGTTTTCTGTCTCAATTATCGACCAAAAATTGAATATTTCGTACCAAATTACGCTAAATTTTCAATTCATTCACATATATTCTCCTGAATTTCCCTAATTTCTATCAATGATAGATCTATAGAATGATTCGAGTAAAATCTACAGTTTTTATTTTTTGATCAATCTGTGAATTTCCAATGATGATATTCCTTAAAATGTCACAGAAATTTTCTAAATTCAAACTACTTAAAGTGTTCTGTTCGATGAAGGAAAATAACCACAGTCATCTAGAATTTATGCAGGATGTTAATAATTGCACTTGAATTATCTATGAATTTTTTGTAGCGTTGTTATAGATTTCGTTTTAACCTTATTAACAATCAAAGTCGCCTCTTATAAACGTGCTCTTACGCAAATTTTCTGTTTCGCCCGAAATTGCGTTACCATTTAAGCTGAGAACATAGTTTTACGCCAATTTGAAGAATCGCCATAAAGGTCCCCGTATAAGAAATTAAATTGATTGTTGATGACTTGTAAACGAAATCTAAAAAAATGCGAAAAAAATTATACAGTACACTGACAGAAAAAAATTAATTTTATCAAGAGAATTCTATTTGAACTATCATTTGGTTGTTAATTTTCAAATAAACATGATTTCACAGTGAATACCAGTTATCTCTTCTTGAGATACATTTGATTGGGAGAAATCGAACTTCTCTAGAATTGAAGTTCCTTTTATTTGTCGCAATACTGAGAGTATTTGATTTCTTTCTACCCAAAAGTTTGCTAACTCCAGCAATTCGTTGGTTTACTCGAAAAGCAGAATTATTCTCATGACTAAATACGTTGTTATCTCAATCGACACGATCATACGTTGTTCCAAGTAAATTATAATTGAAGTGATGAAGTGACAGAATGAAGTGACAGATTACGGCAATTCTACACAAACTTGGATATCACAAATTGCGTTCAATGTGATGTACGGAAAGCTCAATTTAAACATCGGCTTCATTCGAGAAAACAACATTCAATTCATTCCTCAATGTAGTCATTTCCTAGGTACGAATTGTTTATCAATTCATGAAAGTAAAAAATTTCTCGACTGGAGATTCTATTAGGAAAGAAAAATAGAACTTTTCCATTTTTCTGGTGAATACATGTGACTTGAGGCCAAGGACTGTTTTATTTGATTCAAGTAAATGTATGTCAAGAAGAAATAATTGATATCCACCGTAAGATCTCATTTATTTGAAATTGCTTTAAGTATTTATATAATATTTGTTCCAAGAAAGAAAGATCTCAATAAAAATAATTTTTTCTATCAGTGTACCTCAAAGCTACGATGAACGCCCCATAAAAATTTCTAATCAGTCAACATTTTTTTCACAAATGAAATCCCTTAAATCCTATCTGCCTCATGATGTGTGATATCTCCGAAATAGCAACGAATCACAATCCAATATATTTCAAAGCGTAATCCAAGTAGTATTGCCCAACTCTAGAAAAAAATTGTTCAGATTTGTAGCTGGAAGCAAAGTTTTCTCTCCCCATCCCAGCATGTCATTTCTCACTAAAAGAACAAACTTGATATTTGTCAATGTCCCTGGAATTTTTTTCCCCCATTCTTTTCCGAAGAGAGACTAAGAAATGTGAGAAAGAAAAATTCAACTTTTTCCATTGCGCTAGTCTCAATGTCTCTCATCCACCAAACACGAATCTTGCATTGGATTTATTTCATTTTCCCTTTGTCTGAAAAGTTGTCTCCATTCTTCTTTGAGTATTCGTGTTATTGCGTTATGTCATTCACCACCGATGGTCTCTCGCTGTTTCGGTGTCTCGCTGTGCTGGTGAATAAGATTCACCTTTACGAACGGGCAAAAAATGAATAATGTAGAAATAATTACTTTTTCACATGATAAACCAAGTAATAATTTCAAACAAATTTACATTGGACATTATCAATCAATAATAGCCATTGAAGATTGAAAATAACTGACAATGAGATACTATTTAATCAGTTTTGAAAATTACAATTATTCAATTAATGATCAATATCCAATTTAAAATTGGGTTACAGTGTCAATTTTCATATCTCAACGAAGGTTAATAAACATCAGTCATTTGTGTCATTTTATCCGAAAATATTTTCAAAGCAATGATTACTTTAGAAATATTTCACAGTAAATAAACAGTGAAAAATTCCGTCAAGTCGTATTTTTCAGCGTTACATAACGCGTAGTAATGGAAGGAAGACATTGAATAACATTGAGAAAAATGCGATCGATTGCACCCTCAGCTCCCCATCATCTTGAATTTGTGGATTGAATTCAGCATTCTCGACTATGGAACATCTATTCCTAGCCCGAGGGCTGAATATCACCATTACCGGAATATGAGTTTCAATTCTTTTCATCCAATTTCTTCAGAACATGCAGACAATTTCGAGGAAACATGGTCATTCCGCTCCAGAACAAAAATCTGAGCTTCTGCTCGTGGAGCTGGAAAAATTTGAAGAATCGTGAGCTTATCTGCGGTTCCGACTCGTCGTCTTGTGGATAGACGAAGGAATTGACTTTGTCGGACTTTCAGATGGTCACGATTGCCCGTTTTAACACTCGATACTGTAGTTGTGGGGCTTACGCGCCGTTGGTATTGACCTAGCGTCACTTTACCGATTGTTAGTCGTATTTTTCGGTCGGATTTGGTAAAATTTCTCTTCGAAACTTAATCAGTTCATCGTCATTGTTAAGAGCTTTAAGCCCTGCTCGTTAATTATTATGGTCTTGGAAAAAAATGAATTTCTTTAATTAAGTGATATCGAATCTGACTCAAGCGGAAATAGTATATTTCGATACGCGTGCGTAATAGTATATTGTGTCATTAGTGCGTAAAGTTCTACTTTTTCACACGCACGTGTAACACATCCTATTTTTTGCGGTACCTGCCGGAACATGGAGAGAAATATTCAATAAAAATTACGTGTCTTTCCCGTAATTCCGGAGTGAAATGTGGTTGTAGGAAATTTTACGGAACTGTCACATAATTTTTACCTAAAATCACGAAATTTGTCCAGAACGTTCCGTAATTTTTTTGCCTGAATCTCCTGTGAAAAATTACGATACCATCTCTTAAATTTTCTGAATCGATTCCGTAATCGGTAAGCGAACTACGAGTTCCGTAATTTTTACTGAACATTTCTCTCCGTGAACGGTAGCGAAGGTAAAGCGGTTGTTTTCCGCACGGCATGCGTAAAGTTCAAGAGCGTGCGTAAAGTGAATTTCGAGTGTGTAAAACGCAGCTTTAGTGCGATGCCATAATGGACGCATCCTGAAATGTACGCAACGCAAGAGACAATCGTTCAGCTATTTTTCCATTACAAGATATATGCGCGCGCTCTCGCGCGCGCTGATCTATTCATTTGTTGAAATGAAGAAATGGAATTCATTGAATTGCATTTTCTCATGAATACCTTATAAATATTGATAATGAATCAAAGAGAAGTCGACTAATGATTGAAATGAATAGCGAAGTAGAGTAAAAGAATCTATAAAGAATTTTTCATTTTCAATTAATTATCTTTAATTTTTTAAAATAATCGGTCTCCATAAAAGGACAGAAGTTATTAATTTCACCGATGATATATATACATGTGAAATATATGTATTATATATATATGACGTGAAAAAAAAATTTACAGGCAGGCAGTTTCGAGATATTTCGATATAAAACAACTTCACGTTTCTTTCATCTTTAGTAAATAGGATTTGCGACATTGAATTCATTGTGGCATAATCCTTACACACGAGAATTTACTTTACGCACGCCGTTCGGAAAACAACCGCTTTGCGCATACTAAACCATTTCGAGAAGTGCACTTTTGAGGCAGGTATCACAAAAAAGTGTACTTCCTCATTTGTGCGTAGAATAAAATTTTCCGCACGCTCCGCGCAAAATTTTATTTTACGCGGAAAAGGGGAAGATTTGTTCTTTATATTGAAAAAAAAAATTACTGAATTTTATCAATATTTCAACCCCTCGTTAATATTAAAAAAAAAATCAAAAGTGTCCGTTTTACCCCAACCTCCCCAATATGAAATGAAAAAAATCGTGCTCGAGAGCTCGAGATTTGAGGAATGTGTTAATAATGATTGATAAAACCCATTTCCTCACGTTTCCCCATTTATCAAGAGTTGGCTCTCCCTCAAATTAATTACAATTCCCTATTTCACGAGATCATCCTAAAAAAATCGCAAATGATCTCGAAGGATGAAGAAGTGTCCAATAACCCCCCGTGTCCGTGATATCCCTCATTTCGAAGAGATCAGTGATTCCCCCGTTCGAACACTCAGTGATGAGCAACCCGAATCCCAATAAAAAGAGGTCGGCGAGTGCGCGCGCACAGCGAATGGCTCCCAGGCCGTATTCCTGTTGAGTGCTGACCTGCTGACGCTGTTCTCCGAAGAGAATTACACGTTCAGGCAGTGCTCTCGATTGATTAATTCCTACAATCTCACGGGGTCCGTAAAAAATCGGTTGACGTGTGAGAAGAGCTTCTCAGCAGTGGAAATTGTGAATTTTATTGCGAGAGATTCGTGCTCCCCCGATGCACTGTTATCGCTGAGGCAAAGGGCTTATCCGTCAGAATTACAACGTTGGCCCACCCACTGTACCGAGACGAAGCTCAAAATGCCACTGGTGAGTGCAAAATAATATTTCATTTTGTCATCGTTATTGTTGGAATAGTCGTGGTATCTGTTGAGGACAGTTGACGTTCGAAGGCGATACTTGTGGCCACTGGTTCGACGGAGGAAGCGACTCCTTTGTCTAACCCCAAAGTTTGTTGTCAAAATATTTTGAGAGTAGGTGTTGCATTGTGTGGTGAGAATATCAGTGTGATACGTGTTATTGAGTTATCACGAGGTGATGGTCGACTGATTGATTGACTGGGTGATTGATTGGATGATGGAATAAAGGTTTGCCTTTGATGAGCAGGGAAATCACGTGCCACTCCAGGATATGGGGGCTGGACGGGGTCAGGGTGGTGGAGGTCCTCCTCAGAACTGTATGAAGGTGTTTGTTCAGAGGGACTACACCCAGGGGACAATGGTGAAATTCCAAACGAGATTTCCACCCGAGCTATCCGACAGAGTGAGTCTTAACCTCAATTCTTTCGATGTGATCGATTTGCCCTGGAAATACAGGACAGAACAGAACAGAACTGCACTGAGAGAAACACTGACTAGTTCTCAAAAAATATTGAGGAAATTAGGTTTTATTTTCAGGGACATGTCACTGATTTTCGGGAATTTTTGTAATTACCTTTCGAACATTTTCGTAATTATCTTTTTTGTAGCGCTCAATCAGCTCTACAAGCACAAAGGTCATGACAAAATTTTGCTGTCTTCCCTGGATTTTGAGATATTCAGTGAAAACTGGCCAATAGTGAAAATTGAGTTGAATTGTTTTACCACTTCGTGATACTGGAAATCTGGTGATAGAGCCTCAAAAATTGGAGTGGGTCCCTTTACATCAGCGACATTACTCTGAAAATTAGTGATGATGTCACTGAAAAGTAGTGAAAAAATCACTGAATTTTAGAATTTTGGACTCACTCAATTTCACAATCACGAATCCATAATAATTGGGGATAAATTATTGAAAATCAGTGCACGGAGAGAAATTCTTTAGAAAAGTTCTAGTGCTGGTACTGAAAAAAATGCCAATCCACCGCCTATGAAAAATTCTTGTGCTGTTAAAGTAACTCTACCCTTACGGTAAATTCAAAGATCCCTTCTAAAAAATCGTTGAAAATTCTAAAAACTCATTTTATATTTTCAAAGAAGAAATATTTTAAAATGAGGATTTAACCCAGTGTCTTATGTGAAAATCAACATTTTCATTGTAATCAAAGATTAAAATTTTACATTTTGCATTTAGATGTAAAAAAATCAAGAAATTTTTTGACACTTCATAAAAAATGATCCACCATTTTGCAAACAAGTTATATTATTCATTTATAAGAAGGAAAGATTTGAAAAATTATCGATATTTTGCGAAATTTAATTTAGATAATACTGGGTATCAATATTTTCAAATTTTTTCCATGCAATTCAGTTGAAAAATTCAAAAACTGAAAATATCGAAAAGTGCAGCGTAGCCCGGCCGAAGGATAGAGCTACTTTAAGGCAAAATATCAGGGGAAATCTGTGAAAAGTTCACACCACAACGGGAAAAATTTACGCACTACTCAATAATTCTAGAGAATTTCTCTTTATGTGCCATGACCTGGAAATCGAAGCAAAGTTTCGACCGAAATGTCAAAAGATCTTCTTTGCAACTTACAAAATTACCTTCATAAAAGGTGTGTTCTTGCTGTTCTCCCCGACCGTTCAAAAATATACCCGTAAAGCCATCGTCCCGAAATCATACGGAAACTTCATAAAACGAAATTGGTGAATATCTCTGGAACTAGTAATTTTAGCCCAGAGTTTTCTCGTATGTAATGCCACGAGAGCTTCAAAATTATCAGATATTTTCCGACAGGTTTGTTACAAACAAACGGAGGAGTTGATAGCGTTTTTCTTGCACCACTTACTGAACAAAAAATCGAGAAACACTACAAAAATTTTTTTGGTTGCTGAGAAACGCGGCGAGCTTACTGCCTCAGTAAGTGGTGCAAGAAAAACGCTATAAGTATTCTGAAAAACTTGACGAGTTCGTTTGTATGCAGGTAATCTTGCGTAAAATACCTGATTAATTCTGAATCTCAAGAGGTATTCGAAAAAGAATTTTTTCATCCAAATTTCGGCCAAGAGAATTGCACTATGCGACAAAATCCATCTGTTAGTTCCAACGAGGGGTTAACTCGGCCAGGAAATCTTCTGTTGTTCATATCATTTCATTTCATGTTGATACATGAAAAATGACCAGTGGAATTATTAAAAATTATCAATGGAATCCGTGTTGACTATAAAATAACAGTCGAATAGTTCATTTCTATTGGCTGAAATTTGGACGGGAAAAATTCTCAGTTGAATACCGTAATGACCATAAAATAACAGTCGAATAGTACAATTCTATTGGCTGAAATTTGGATGGGAAAAATTCTCAGTTGAATACCGTATTGACCATAAAATAACAGTCGAATAGTACGATTCCATTGGCTGAAATTTGAATGGGAAAATTCTCAATGATTTCCCCCTGCACCTCCTCCCTGGCACCTCCCGCACATCGTCCACCCTGGGCTATTCCGCCCAAAAATTCACTGGAATAAATGTCAACAGTTGGACCCAGAAACCTTCGAGTACACGATAAACCAGCTGAACAATTACTTTGCCGAAGCAGAGAGTGGCAGTTGTTCAACCTACTGCGAAGGATGCCTAGCATGTCTCACAGGTTATCTAATATACATATGCACCGAGACCCACTACGAAAAGTGTCTTCGTAAAGTAGCGAAATTCATCTGCGAACAGAATGACAGAGTGTACAGGCCACGTGGTTTACTCCTAACCGATCCCACAACACGTGGCCTAAGACTTATAGAGATATCAATACTGGACAGGCCCCCATCGTGACTGCATGTTAGCCAATCCGCGGAATTCTTCATGTGACTCGTTCTGCGTCAATGCGATTACCACCGGTAAAAAGTATAAAAAAATTTTAAAATCAACCCCTCGTAACGCGCAATTATCGTCTTCATTACCTGGCAAGTGTGATTCGTCGCGCGATTACATGATTTATTGATGTCAAAGAGCGAGGGAAGCCCCTTCTTGTCACGAATTTTGTATACAAAGAAAATAATAAATTAAAAAACTGCCCCAGGTTGCAAGGTTTATTCAGGTACATGGGGTGCACATTGTTCTTTATTTTTGACGAATTTTACTTCACTAGATGAAATAAGTAAGATAACTACGGTAGAAGGATTTACAGTTGTAATACTAAAGTAAACGAAGGTGAATGCATTTATGGAGGAACTCAAGTTCAAAATACGTTTGGAGATCTCAGTTTATTCCATTATCTTCCTTTACCCCTCGTTAATCTTCCAGTTATTCCCCCTCAACAAAAGATTTATCCTGCTCCCATATTCAAATTTTTGTTTCTCCCACCGAAATCACTGAATGGCAAACAAAAAGAGGGATAAAAACAGCGCGATACGAGATTACGATTTTTCATTATTTGCAGATGCAATTCCTCAGGGAATTTTTCGGTCGAAGATATCCACGGATTGGCTAATGGTTATCCAATAAATAAAACGAAGTTTGAAAAATGCGAAGTGCAAGTGCGTTTTGACACTACAATTGGCGGTTGATTTGCGAGCAATTATTCGTGGCTGCGTTGATCTTTCTGATTGCAATTAAAAGTCTGAAAACCAATTTTTTCGATTCTACTTCGTCCCCTTTCTCACGTAACTTGCGATCAATCACGCTCGTTCCAGCGACCGTGAACAATTGGTTTTCGGTTCTTTTTTTTCGATTATCAAAACGCAGGAAGACATAAAGACCCATGTGTAAATAGGAGAATATGATTCGGTATGTATGATTATTGAGGAGACAATGGTCTTGTTATACTTAATATGAGAACTATAGGGAATAAGGAAACGGATTATGTAATTAAGAGAAACAATTATTTGACGATCGAATTAACGACTGGACACTGAGTCACTCGTACCACTGTAATTTCTAAATGTTTTAATAATAAAAGGAAAATGAAGGGAAGCCAGCGTCATTCGTTATTTCTCCACTTTGCTCATATCTTTTTTTATTTCTCTCTCCCTCTCTTATGGATTTTCATTTGTAATTTTGGTACATCAAAATTTATTGTTATCTCATGCAGTTATGACAGTACATTCTCCTCATTTATTTACTCACTTTAATTCCCTACTTATATCAAAAGACTAGAAACCATTTTTATTATCCTTATCTTACTTGTCAAGTTAATCCCTTTCTGTTAGAATAAAATCAATGTCATCGACACAAGAGCCCCAATTCTTTATCTCGATGCCACTTGGAAGGACGAAGAATCGAAGAATAATGATCGACAATATTCTCCTCAATATTTTAGAAGGTATTTTCACTAAATTGACTACATCTTAGAGATCGACATTCTGCCTTCATGATCTATAACAATCAGTGAGCCGAAGTAACGTGCCTCTTGTCTGAGCATTGAAAAAAAAAATTTTGGACAGAGTCAGAGAAACACCGATGACACGCATTCAATCTCACATGTATTATTAATTAATCCATCTTATCGTTAATCCTTAATTAATCTGTCACTTGAAAACTCGTGAGATCGCAAAAATGTGTACACACTAAATACACTCTATAATACACCAAAGTCATATATCTTTCAATAACCACACTGATAGAAGGATCGACTTATAGTTAACAAATCGATTCGTGGACTATGAATAAACACTATTTTTTACAATTAACCGAACGTTTCATCGCGACTACTCATGGCTTGTTAATTATTAAGAAATATGCATTCGGCCACAGTCAACTTTGCTACTTGTTAACCCTTCGTTACTCGGATCCGCGGCAAGGCGCTGGTGAAATTCTATTGTTTAGTATAACTTCCAAAAAAAACTCATTAAAAAATAAGAAACGAATTGTATGCCTCACTGATTTTATCTAAAAGCATATTCTGCCATTTCTAACCACGGCCAAAGCCCCTGATTAGCGAAAATTCATTGCTAACTGTGCTAACTGGAAATAAAAAATACGGCGCCATGCGACACGACTGATCGTGTCATGCATACATTTCACACGGCGTTGCCATACTTGTGGCTGCCGGAAGATCAGCGAGTCCACTCCCCGAATGAATTGTGGCAACGGCGCGCTCAGATTTACATTACAGCGCCGCGATGCGAGTAACAACGTCGGGCAGTTTCACGCGAGTAACCAAGGGTTAATAGTTAACGAACCTCATTCACAATAAATGAATCATTCTACCAGTGCAGGCCCGATAAAATCCCTTGCAAACAATCCCCCGAACTCCACATTGACCATGAATATTGGATTTTCGTATTTATACAAAAAAAAGAGATTGTCAATACCCCACTGATCCCCACTCGCAAAATCCTACTGAGAGGCCTATCAAAGCCTACTCGAGGCATTAAATTCGACTATCCAGAGCCTAAAATTGCATCTCTAATCAATGTGTCTCTTCTCATTCCCCTCTACAATCCCAGCGGAAAGCTGTACAATTATCCGTAATCAGTGGAAAAAGGTCATCCTCCAAGTGTTCATTATGGCAACTAGTTTCGCAGTCACTCGGGAATGCTCTCCAGAGTGCTCGAACTCGTGAGCCGTCAAATGAGCAGACAAAGTTTATTTTTATTCTTTCTCTCTGGCAACAGTACCTTAGCCTTTCCCGTGTCCTCCGAGCCACTTCTAGCATAGAGTGACCTACTCAGTCGATGCCTGACACCTTTACCAATCGATCGTCCGCCCTTTCTCAACGACGCAAACCTTCCCAGCGCACTTTTCGGGAAGTCTGATGCTTTGGCAGGTCCAGATGTATCCTTCTTCTCCTGCGCACAATTCAATGTCGTTACTGTAAACTCAATGTCCTTGGGCTCTTGTGAGACAAACTCCTCGACTGGCTCCTCAATAGTATCCCTGTCGATCCACGTCAGGCCCATCTCAACCTTCTCAGCAAGATCCTGCCAGTGTTTTCGGTTCTCAGCTGTTCCCTCGTAAAGTGGCATTATCCAGGGAAATGTCTCAGACATAACTTTGTACAGGGGTAGACAAATGACGTCGATAAATCCAACTTGCATCTGCGGTAACTCATCCCGTCGTTCGCGATCCATCATGGCGACTGGCTGTTGATTAAGTTGAAGCTTCTCCAAGTCTCCTTGATCGAAAAATTCGTCAGCTACGAGTTTTGCCACTCGATGCTGCACCTCCCACGGTTTTGCTATGGCGCTCACATCACAGGCGGTCATCATCATACCACAGAGAACTGCAGAATGAATTATTGATTTGAGAATTTCGATCCTGAAGGGGAGGGGGACGAAAGGAATCAGGGGGGAAGCTAGTGGAGTGAGTTTTTAGACGACTTACGCTCTTTCTTCTCCTCACTCTGCCAATCGAACTCGCCTTCGTCGATTAGCTCCATAAAGTTGTTCTTCTTCTTGAAGTAGACAGCGAGGTCCGTCGATAAAATTGCACTCTCCACCACTTTCATCACTCGTCGGTAGTCCTCCATGGAGAGGGTCTGGAAGATGTTATTGCTGTCCGAGTTGAGGATCATCACACACTGGTCGAAGTGGTGGTGCTCCATGGTGCTCGTTGAGTAGAGAATTGCCAGGGGTGACTCGGTCTTTGTTTGGAATGCGTTATTTGTGCCACGGTGGTCGAGATCGTGGCATAAACAAGCTACGAGGAGACCTAGTATCTCCAGGTCTGTCATGAATTGCTCCATTTTTCCAGTCTTCAGCATTGCGAACATGGTTTGAGCTACGTTTAGAGCGTGCCTCCAATTGTGATACTTTACGGGTCTGTGGGATAATTAAATTTAATATTGTGAAGCCGTCAGGGAGTCAAACCAGATGAGTCGATGCTTTCAATTCCGAGATATTCCAGATGAGTCGATGAAAGCATCGACTCATCTGGAATATCTCGGAATTGAATAGAAAAATTCATAAAAACAGTTTCATTTCCATTGCGAAACGGTAAAACGGTTCAAGTCGATTTAACTTTAGTTCAGTTTTCGAGGAATATCTCCGAATCTGAGGGAGATAACAAAATTTTCGTAATGACCTTCTTTGTAGAGCAAATTGAGGGCTACAAAGAAGGTCTGTTAGAGATTGAGCTAATGTTAGGGTGGGTTGGGGGAAAGTGTGATAAAAAGGTGACAATCAAAAGACGCGCGGATTACAAAAACACACTGGTGATGTACTTTATTGGTGGCGCAAGCCACGCGTCTTGATTTATCTTACACGGACCGTTGAATGTCTCAATATTAAACTCAATAATTGTCTTTATACTGCACTGCACTAAAAATGATTAACAGTTGACTTGATATTTAACTGATAGTCTGAATGAAATAGAGACGCTACAGTGAGCGCTAGACTCAATATTACACGGTGATGTACTCGGTTGAGCGGTTACGTTGATACTGAATTCATATTTGGCGATTTGCTCCGTGATTTGAGCCTGAACCCGAAGGCTCTCGAAGTCACTCGAGATTTTACGTTGAGACCGGTAGCTTTTAATGAATTATTTGCTGCATTTTAGCCAAGGTCGGAATGAAAATTCTGCCCTAGAACGAAAATCTTCCCTAGATTTCGAGATATTCATTAAAAACTGATCAATAGTCAAAATCGACTTAGATCGATTTCCCGCTTGGCTACTGATTTTGCTCAATTAGTTTTCATTTCATTGCTCCGGAACTCTCCTTCAAGTTCTTTATTCATCATAAAGTGTTTGACGACGTCACTAGGAAATACTATTCCTACAGGCTATTCCTCTAGCTTTTACTCTGTTCTACAAACACACATTACTAAAAACTCTTCATTGAATTAGAAGAACTTACCGATAATTCTTCTTCACACTCAAAATCCATCGGCAAAGAACATCGTAAGGTATGTGGAACCTCTGAATGAGATTGCACGCCTTAAACATTCGGACAGTAGCGCGACAAGTGTCCTCGTCAGTGAGATCAAAATCAATGAATGTGAAACTGTACAAATTGTATTTCTCAGCGGATGGAATGACATCAGTGGTGAGTCGGAGAGCATCATCATTGCTGGCAGTAGCGTGATAACTCAGGCATTCAAGTGCTACTTTTTGTTTAGCCATTAGCTTGCAGGCTGACTCGTACATCTGAGTATTGTGAATTCCAAGACCGCAGAATATAGCAAAAGCCTCGAATATTGAGACGTCCGAGTCGGTAAATGAACTTCCATTGTCCTGTGGTTGAAAAGAACGAATATTAAGTGCAGTGAAGCGTAAATGCTCTTTTGTCGTGATATGGCGAAGGTGAATTCATCAGACAACGCCTGAAAATGATGTTCCCTTTTTTTTCTAAATATATCAGGGATGAGTGGGTTTAGAACAATACAGGAGACGAACTTTTCGTACTCAAGCAATCTCTTACAAAGAAGATTTCTTAATAAATTCCTCTGAAATGACTCATCATTCTATCAATTTTCTACATGGAATCATCTCGGAAATGAATTAGCTGAAATTCATGAAGATATATTTTTCGTAGAGAATCATCTTGGCGGCATACTTTAATAATGACTCAACATTTTCATGACAAAATGGCCTATGGAACACAGATAATTGGCTTTAGGGCACGGCACACGTCACACTTAACGATCAAATTTTGTCAACATGATAGTTTACATTATCACGACTTCGTCACTGCCTACGAACCTTATTAATGAGCTGAGCCACTCCAATAACACTCCTCTGGCCATTAACAATGGGCATGCAGAGAATACTCCTGATGGGATCCTTTCCTGTATCCAAAACCTCCCTCTTGAGCCATACAGCAACATCTCCAATATTGAGAATTTGTCCCGTGCTCGCAACATACTTCGCTATTTTACCCAACGGACTGGAAAGATCATTGGTGCTTGGACGGCTGACTTGAGCTTCCTGCGTTCCATTTTCCATCTTGAAAACCATGGTAAACTTTGCGCTCCCATCACTCGTACTCTGTCAAGTAGATAATTTCGAGAAATAACATTTGATAAATGCCCTCTATCGGGCCATCCCTCATCCCTCACTAAGTTGATACTCACATGACTTAGGAATATATCCTCCATATCAATATTATTGCTCTAAAAATAGATCGAGAAAATAGAGAAATGAGAGTTCAGATCGAATCAAGGAAGTGATAACGTCCACAGAGAAAAAAAGTTTCTGAAATCAAGAACCCTGGGTTCTTAAAATCCAGCCGTTGGGGACATTCACAACGCAATTAAGATAATTTGAGGAAACAACTATGTCAATTTAAGAGCTTCAAGGTTTTTATCAGAATTTCATTTGTAAGAATGAATGATGATGAAGGAATCATTTTCAAATCGGGGTTCTTGATTTCTGTACCCAACGGTTCTGATTTTAAGAACCCAGAGTACTAGATTCCAGAACCAAAGTGCCTTTATTGAACTCTCTACGAGTACACTGGGGTCACTCATCACCCCAGTCCATTTTTTCTCGATATCACTCCTACATAAGTGCGGGGTGTATACTGGAAATCAGAAACTTTTTTCCACTGCACGGGTTCAAAGAGGACTTTCTCACTTCTCTCCTTGATAATGGCTTCCGGTCCTCTTGGATGGACTTGCCGGGCCTCTCAACGATTTTCTCAAGATGCCCGGCCTCGCCACAGTCCAGATCGAGCAGGTACACTGCACATCTCTCGCACTTGAGCAACTCCTTGGCTTCAGTCATGATTTTCGTCACAAGACACTCGAGATTATTCTGATCCTCAAATATACTTCTCGCTAGATTAAGTAGAATTTGATTTCTCCTGTACTCTAGGACAGATAGCTCAAACAGTTGGGCATTTTGGATCCCAATTCCACAGAAAGTCAGGTACCTAAGGGGTCATTGAATTGAATCATCATCTTTTAGCAAAACTGGGGAAGAAACCTATGAACGTGTTCTATACAAATTCTTAGTAGCTCAGCTGTGCTGCAAAAACTGATAAAAGCCTCACAAGATTTCTTCTAAAAGCAACGAGTGGAGGTACACGGAGCCCTTTCATGAGATTCTTCAAGATATTTTTTGTTCCGCACCAGAATGTCCTCTCAACTTGTATTCCGTACCACGTGGAACAAATAATATTCACCGGAATTTCTAGCGTTTACCTGCTTGAGGAAATTTAATCTCCTAAAACTGTGTACAGAAACAGCAAAGGGCTTTCAAAGCATTCATAACGTCATTTTCTAGTGGCTCATTCTTTATGCAACAAGCCGATGGAATTTCTCACAGAAGATCCTACGAGGAACTCGTATAGAACACGTCTGCACCATTTTCGAAAGAATGAAATTGCAGTGATAGAAGGGTTCGTTTAGCATCAAAGGATGAATTTCAAAGGCTCGCGTTAATTTCTTTTTCTCAGATGGACATTTTTCGAGGATGATTATCTAAAATCCCGAACGCTCAACAAAATTTGGCTAATTGATTGTGTCAAAGCTACTGCAACAAATTTTTCTTAGCTATTAAAAACGTTAGTTTCAGGTTTTTCCATCATTAAAAAATATTACAGAATTTTTCTCGGACATGCGAAAGTCAGAATTTCGGAAAATGATAGCACTGAAACAAAATTTAATATTCTTTTCAACGGATAGACGTAATTATCTTCTTTATCTTGATAGAAACTGCAATCCACCAGCCCGAATTAATTATTCAGAAATAAAATGGGCAATATGTACCAAATGCACACGTCCCCGTGAGTTTCTATGGGGCTTGAAGTTTTTAATATCTGGATTATTTTCCTAGATACCCGGGATTTTTCTCGACCATTGGATTCCGGGTACTTTTTTAGCATTGGCACAATTCAATAGACAATTTTTCTCAATTCGAAAAATTACTTCTCGCTTACACGGAGAAATATTCAGTAAGAATTACGTATCTTTTCTGTAATTTCGGAGCGAAATGTGGTTGTCAGAAATTTTACGGAAGTATCACGGAATTTTTCCAGAGCGTTCCGTAATTTTTATCTGAATCTCCTGTGAAAAATTACGATACTGTCACTTAAATTTTCTGAGTCGATTACGTAATCGACGAGTGAATTGTGAGTTCCGTAATTTTTACTGAAAATTTCTCTCCGTGAAAAGGGTGTAACATCCTTAACATCCTTCTATCAGTAATAATACGACTACAATACCTTTGGAAAACTTCGACATCCCTCTCCGTGAATTCGTTGCTACCATTAGTTTTATTGATAATTTGAGCAACCCCAATGACATCCCCCTCGTAATTACAAATGGGCATCGACAGAATGAGAGTAGTCTTGTACCCAGTCCTCATATCGATGGAACTATTGAACCTAGGATCCTCATATGCATCCTTGATATTGATAATCTCCTTAGTCTGAGCAACATAACCGGCAATGCCGATCCCAAAAGGTATTCTAATCTCCTCATTCTTGGCTCTCTGTACCGCCTCCTCAAGTTCAGTTTCTTGAGTAACGTCAAAGAGTTTCGCAACGAGATAACGATCCTCAGGGGGACCTTTAGCGAGAAATAAACTGCCTCTGTCCGCATGCGTCAATAGTCCCACGTTGACAAGAATTTTGTGGCACAAAACATTGATGTCCAGCTCATTGGCAACGTCTCTTATGAGCTCCATGAAGAGTTCACCCTCGTCCAGTTGATTCAACTCCGCTCGACGTCCCGAAATAGACAGGGGCAACCTTGAAATGAATATTCAAGGTTTAAGGATATCCAAGCATCTTTTACAGTTCAGTAGAGACCACACTATAGATTGAAACATTTTCAATTATCAAATTTGTCAATAAAACTGCGTGAAAATTTGAAAAAAATTATGAATATTCAGGGTCGTCCAAATTACGTTTTGCACAGAATTATTATTTTGAACATTCGTTGTTTATAAATAAATAATTCAGTAGCGAAGTGGTAAAACGGTTTAAGTCGACTTATCTCCAAGTTGAGTTTTTGATGAATATTTCCAAATCTAAGAGAGATAGCGAAATTTTTGTAATTACATTTGTTGTAGCTCTCAATCAGCTCTACAAAAAAGGTTATAAGAAAAATGTTGCCATCTTCTTTAGATTCCGAGATATTCATTGAAAACTGGTTAATAGACAAAATTAACTTGTACCGTTTTACCACTTCGCTACTGAATTGAAATTGTTTAAACTTTTGGAAACCTTATTTTTTAGGCATGAAATTGATTTCAGGTAAAATTCTGTATATGAATAAATTTAATATCGTTTCTGAACAAATGATTGATAGGTGGAAAATGCATTGTTTATAAATTATTTATAGAAATAGCTCGTAATTTTAAAAAAATTGCAATTTTTTAATAATTTGATCAATTTTTCTCCAAAAGTAAACTTTTCAATTTTTTTTTTTAATTTTTAAAATGTTTTCTGACGGTTCAATATCGAGATTCGAATCTAGACTTGTAAAATTTAGATAATAAAATCATTGTAAAACGTCCGGAAACTTGGGGTTGAATGGGGCTCAAATGAAAGCTCTGATGTTCAACTACAAAAGTAGAAAAGCATCTGACTGGAGAAAAAATAGCCAAAGTACTTGGATATCTTTAAAGGGGCGGACCAAGGTGAAATTTTAGGCTTCAGTTGATGAAAGTAGCCATTAGGCGACTCTTGATGTATTATGGGGTACCTAAAGCAAGAGAGAACGTAATTTTTCACTATTTGGCTTTGAAATGCTCCTTGCACCCCAGTTTGCACCCACTTTGAAATTTTTTGTTTCAAAATATTAGTTCCATAAATATCGCCTATAAAAATCATTGTTTTGAGCAGTTTAACATCGAAGTAGTAAGTAAAAGGTGTTTAGTACTGAAAAACAATGAGTCTAATAGAAAATAACTACTCAAAACAATTAGTTTTGTAGATAGATAGATAGTTTATTGCATCTTGGAATGCATGGTTTCATTGGTGCGGGGGGTCTGCGTAATTACAAAAGAAATTACAGAGTTTTGCGGTTCAATCATCAAAAAGAATATAATTTTACAGGAAATGAAAACAAAAAGGAATTTAGAGATGTATAACGTCGCGAACGAAAGCTTAAACCAATTACTAAGAACCTGGTAACGAGTGAGAATAAAAAACATGAGCCAATTAGTTTTATATGGTATGCAAAAACGAGAAACACAAGTAAACCGAAAAAACAAATTTTTTCGTGATCTATTTGAGATAATGTAAACGAAAACAGTGTTTTTGCGAGCTGTTGCGATGGGTTTTTTTACTCTTGAGGAGTTGGCGTCGGAGCCGAAGGCGAGGACTGGCCAACCACACAAGTAAAAAACCCCATCGGTTGTACCCCGAACAAGTTTTTTTTGTGGTGATTTTCAAGTTTCCAAGTTTGGGATGTATACAATAATAATTTCTGAATGAGGAATCGTGAGAAGCAGTACAAAAAAACCTAGTTTTATTCTGTGGAATCAAACGAACATTTTGATAAAAAAAAAGATCGAATCGGATGAAAACGGCACGGAGAAAAATTCTTTAGAAACATTCTAGTGGTGTTAAGGTAACATTTCTGCCGATTTCAGTGAAAAATTCATTTACCCACAAGAAAAATTGACGTGTTACCCAATAAAATTTCCAGTGCCAGCAGGGATTTTTCTCTAGCCGTCCCTTTGCGCCCTTTTTCCGTGCTAGCACTAGAATTTTTTAAGAAAATTTCTCTCTGTGTCGGGTGGCAGGCGCATTTCAAAGCCAAAAACACGAAAAATTACGTTTTCCCTTGACATACGGGGCTAAATAGGTTGGATCTACAATTCTTCTTACTTTTCAAGTACCCCATACTATATCGAGAGTCCCTCGATGGCTATTTTCATCGATCAAAGGCTTTCAAATTTCTCCTCGGTCCCCCTTTAATCATTCAAATTGTTGGAGGAGAGAAAAATGACTGGGAAATAAAAACTTGGGAAGGAGTGAATAAATCACCTGCTCGGGCTTTTGCTGCGTTTTGGGGAGCTGGAGGCTAGCCAGGACTGGAAGAGGTCTGAGGTGATGCTGTTACGCTTGGGGCGAACCATTGGTGTCTCGTCGGGGGGCGGTCGCAGACTGAGGGTCGCAGTTTTTGGTTGGAGATTCGTGTTCAAGAGTCTCATCTTCAACTCGGGGCTTGCCTTGTCTCTCAGCCATGCTTCAACCACCGACGGATTGGTCTCCAAGTACCTGAATCGTTCGTTAATTATTTTTTTAAAAGAGTAATTGACCCACTGTTAGAACAAAAACTTGAAATTTCGGGGACAGTTTGCTAGTAATTTTCAATAGAGTGACGTTGAATTCGATTTAGGGGGATTTTAAATCATAACATTTTAGACTTCACTGGAATTCAATGAAATTCCCAATTTTTTTATAGTTAAATAACGAGAATTCTCAGTTTCATTTGAATTTTCAATGAAAATTTGAACGTTGATGACCAAATTGTGTTGAATTCTTAATTATTTGAAAATTTAAGGATTATTTACCTGAATTTTTCGGATGTCTACTAATTTTCATGGAATAATTGAACTAAAATTCCCAGTTTCCATTGATTTTTTCATAAAATTGTCAATTTTGAATGACGGAATTTTATAAAATTTCAGTGGAACCTTAATGTAATAAAAATTGTCAAGAAGTGTACCGGAAATTTCGGACAAAAATTTCTCAACAGTGAAATTGGATAAAACTGAGAGAAGACGAAATAATTCATTCCTTTTTTCATGTGAGTTGATAAAATAATTACAAATAATTGAATTGAAAATTATTCGTCAGGGAGAAGTGAAATCGGTGTAAGACATTTTAATCCACTTTAATTCAAGATTTACTAGGATTTAATTTTCATCCTATTGATTAGCTCTGAAAAGCCAGAGTGGAAGGCGAGATGATGGATTTTTCTCCTTTCGAAGTCTCTTTGTCCTGAACAGTCTTCGTTTTTTGTTCCATTTCATAAATTGGATTTCTCCAAGAATCTCTTATTACCCCACTCTGCCTCCTCCGCGTAAAGGATCCTCTCAAATATTTTATTCAACGCCATCAACTTATGTCACCCCTTGAAATTACTCTCGTCAACTCACTTGCCAACTCGCTCCATAGTGAGGCCACTGTCTTCCTCAAATTCATGGATAGTATCGGGACACGGAATTCTTTTATTCTTGGTCAGTTTCAGCAGTTCACTACCCTCCTTAATGTCAGTCTTGATACTCCCACTTAAAGTTATTTTTGATTCAATTTTTATTTGATCGGATTGAGTCTCCGATGTACCGGGACCTGGACAATCCAGTGACGCTGGTTTATCGCTCGATGACTGCACCAGTTTACACTCTTTTTTCTTAGACGCCTCTGGCGAACGTGGGATCGTTGAGATTTTCATTATTAATGTATTTGTACTTAAATTATTATTGTGATTTATCTAGAACAAGTAAATCGTAGTACAGTGTTAGATATTCATTGGAATTTCATTGACAGGTACAAACCAACTCGTATTTATTAGATATTCTATTGAAGTTCTTTTAGACTTTCATCAGAATTCTATAAAAAATGATATTTGTTTCTTTTTGGTCTCGCTATTTTTTTATAGATATTTTTGAAAATATTTCCAATATATTTTGTATGTGTATGTAATTAAACATTTGAATTTGGCATGTATAAATGAATGTATTTAATTTGACATTGGCTCTATGTGGCTGGGTCTCTAACAATAAATAAATAAATAAATCTAGTGGATGACTGTCTCAATTTTACTACTGAAAAATGTCTGCAAACACCTGAAGCTGCCTGAGAAAACAGAAATCCCTTCGGATCGGTACTGAGAGGTGGCTTAGGGGTGAAAAATCCACATTTTCCTTTTTTCCAAGAGGAAAAAAAATTATATCCAGTGAATAAATTGTACCTCAATTTTATTATTGAAAAATGTCTAGGGACAACTCCCAAAGCTGCCGGAAAAGACGAAAATCCCCTTGGATCGGTGCTAGGGGTGGCTCAGGGGTGAGAAAAACAAATTTCCGTCTTTTCCAATAGAAAGAAAATAATCCTATCCAGTGAATTAAGTCTATCTGAATTGTATTCTTGGAAAATATCTGGGGACACTCACAAATCGGCCTAAAAATGTAAATACACGGAGAAAAAAGTTGGAGAAAAATTACCAAACAAGTCAAGTAATCGTGGAGCAATCTCGATTTCCAGCACTTTTTCACCTTAAATAGGAGAAAAAGTGCGAGATTAATAGTGAATTTTACTCCGTTGGCCCGGGAAAATTTACTAAACGTGAGGGTGATTTGTAACGAAACTGTCAAATTTACCCTGCATTTCATCAAAAATTATCCCAGTGAACGTGAATAATTGCTCCAATTTTTCGTATAATTTTTCTGTATTGGAGAATGATTTTTACCGAGCCCGTTTGGTAAACTTTCACTTCCGTCCGTTCCCATGGCCTTCAGACGGGTACAAAACAGACAGTCCCCTGCCGGTGTGGGACATTTTACTAAACAGGAGGATAATTTTTGCATCCACAGATGCATTTTTACCGAGAAAATCGTAAGATATCCACTAAAAACCAGTATTTTTTCACAGAATTCCATTTCGCTCGACGATTATCATTCGTATAGTAAAATTTGTCACGATTTTCGAGGTACATTTTATCCAACTTTTCTCTCCGTGTAGAGGTGGTTTGATGGTGAAAAAAAAATTTCGTTTTTTCAAATAGAAAGGGAATAATTCCATCCGGTAAATGAAATCTACCTAAATTTTTTTCTTGAGCAATATCTGGGGACATCAATTACAGAAATTGTTCACTTTTAAAACTCCATATAAATTAGGGGATGATGGGGCAAAATAGAATGTATATCATGGACTTAAAATCCCAATGCCTCTTTTTATAAACAAAGACATCAAGATTTAAATTTTATCACGATTCTCCACTCTGCGGAACCAATATAACTATCGTAATCATCTTTTAACTTCGACTGAATGGCATTAAAACAAACATTTCAAGCTATGATTGAATTCATTTGAAGCATGATATCCAAAGATATCCCGAGAATTCTGATTTTCAAAAAATTCAGAACTTGCAAATTTTCAAATAAAATCAAAATAACGATTATTGATATCACCTTCATCTTCGAACTCGGTCAAAAGGGCATCCGAACTAATTTTTTAAGCCATCATTTAATCAATTCAGAACATTTTTTTTAGTTGCCGTAAACAAACCAATTTTTGAAAAATTGTAAAAATTAAACAATTAATGAATTAATTAAATTTCAATTAATGGCGATTGATAGGATTCAGCAATACCTACATTTGAGGGAAAAAAAGGTTCAATTCTATCGATTCATTAGCGAACAACCGAAGAAAAATTTGTTTAAATTTGTTTAAATTTGAGACGGTCTAAAAATTGCATTTTCCGACGTTTGGATCATAATGGGTCGATAAGACACGAAAAATCCAAAACTCAAATTTGAATGATTCCAATGCTTCATGGTATTCCTATTCAAATTGTACACATCTCCGGGAAAGCAAAGCATGAATTTTTTACCTTGTAATCCGTTTCTGCTGGCAGGTCCTCTTCACCCTCGGTTTCCATATCATCTGCCCATCGGATAATCCACTTGAAAACGTGATATTATATGAGTACGATCAAGACCTTTGATCTCTTGTGTACCTCGGGGCTCGACCTTGTCAAACATCCAGAAATTGAGTAAAAGAATAAACAAGTTAACCACAAAGAAGTGAAATCAAACAATCTCCCCCCCGAGTTACCTCACGCCCTTTTTCCCCCAATTAACTTCCACCCCCACTTGATGTTTCTCTTAAACTACTCGACATGGTAAACAACAGCCCCTCGAGCTTATCACAGGAATAATCAGGAAATAAATTCAAGTGGAATATTCAATAGCCAAGCAGAACCAGATAAGCCAACTCTACTTGATAGTACATTCTTGATAAATATCTTCAAATCTACACGGAGAGAAATTCTTTCGAAAAATTCTGTTGGTAGTACTGGAAAAGTCACAATCTACCGGCTATGAAAAATGTTACTGCTATGCAGCTGTTTTTTTTATTAAAATTTATTGATTTTTGGTAAAATTTCGGGGGATTTCTGTGGTAATCTCAATTCTGATTTCGACCCGAGTGCAGTATTCGGGGTCACGTGACACCTTCATATCAGTTTTATTTTGATTATTCCCCTATCTAAAAGTCAACCAATAGAAATACAGTACTTGACGTTTTGCGAAGGAGTGGGAGTAGAATTATTTCGATCATTTTTGGGTACTTCTATTTTGTTATTTTTTTTTATCTAGTTTGTTTTTTTCTAGAAAGAAAAACTCGGTCAATGATAAGAGAAAAATCATTGAATAATTTTGAATCACCTTTCAATTTTCAAAATAAGGGGATCAATACTCGTAATTGTTGACGAATGAGGGAAGTTTTCCAAATTGATTTGGAATTTGGAATCTGCCAAAAAATTTTAAAATTTTCTAGATTTTTCTTCAATTAAGAAAAAACAGATTTCTCTCGGATTTTTCACATAAAAAAATGAAAATGAAAATTATTTATCCAAAAATTTATTCATTTATTTTGAATTCCAAAATATCTAAACCTCAATCTAAAACCCGAGGATAAAATCTATTTGAATAATTCTTTCCTTTCATTTTATCTCTACGATGAAGAAATGAATTCAAGTGAAATATTTGAAAGTCAAGGAGAATTGGATAAGTCGTGACAAAAGAACTTTTCTCATGACCTTTGGAAAATCGTCTTAAAATATCCGAGAAACTATGAGCGAGAGTGCCACGGAATTAATCTCCTCATTTCATCGTACCACTACAATTATGAAATAAATTCCAGTGAACTATTGAAAAGCCCAGTAGAACTAGATGCGTCATCTCAACTTGATGTCGATTTTCAGATACATATCTTTGATTCCAAATTAGATAAAAATCCTTCCCCAATGACCTTGTGAAAACGGAAGTTCTGAAAAGCGTATTCACACGCACGAAGAAATGTCACAGAAAAATCTAATGAATTCACTGAAGAATCTGATTCATTGAACTTCCATTGAAAAATCCATTAGCTCCTGGCCGATTCTATTCTACAATTTCGCAACTTTACTGTGCATTAAAAAATGTCCAAAAGAAACTATTTTATAGAAAAAATCAGCAGAGTTCAATCATTCTACACAACTTTTTCAATTGAAACATTTTCAACAGGAATTCCTCTCCATAAATTTTTTGTTTTTTCACTCAATTTTGATTTTGATTTTCATTTAAAGAATCGAACAAAAAAACAAGTTACATAAAATAATCAAATTATAAGGGAGAGTGGGGTAAAACGGCCCCTTTTGACTTTTTTTGTAATACTCATAACTCAGCAACAAATTCGTTGATTGAGATCAGTCTAGGTTCATTCCAAAGAGGAAGAAGCGTAGTTTCCATGGAAAAAAAATTATTCCATTTTATTTCAAATTGAATGAGCTGTTAACATTTTTGAAAAAATCAAAAGGGGTCGTTTTACCCCACTCTCCCTTATTAATTTCCCCCATAGAATATTTTCTATTAAATAATTCCATTGCAAAAAGACGTGGATAAGCTACGGAATCTTTCAACAGAATCCTCCAAACACTAATAAAAGTTCAATAAAAACCCAATAGAATTTTCCATCAAAATCATTAGGTTTCTCTACAAATGTTCACACGTGCCTAAAAATTTCGTCATCGCAAAACTCCAAATGCCCCCAACATCCGTACTGATAGCCGGATTCATTTATTTCAAACGAGATTCGTTAACTATTAACGAATGGTAGAGTTGAATATGACCAAATGAACATTCGTTAATAGTTAACGAACGGTTCACTTGAAAAGTGAAAATCGAGTCAACCGAGGCTCCTGAAACGTGCATTCGTTGACTACCAACGAATGAACATTTGTTGAGGCCGAACAGACCCTCGTCTCCAACCAAACCATCCGTTAACAATAACTAATCCTTTCTATCACTGCACGGACCGAAATTTTCCAGAAAAATTCTAGTATGAGTACTGAAAAAAATCACAATCCACCGGTTGTGAAAAATTCTAGTCCTGTTAAGGTAAAATTTCTCAGGATTTCCGTCCAAAATTTTTGGGGATTTCTGTGAAATTTTCACAGAAATACGGGAAAAACTCACGCTTTCCTAAATAAAATTTCCAGTGCCAGCACTGGAATTTTTCCCTGGCCGTCACTGCGCCTCTTTTACCGTGCTAGCACTAGAATTCAGTAGCGAAGTGGTAGAACGGTATAAGTCAATTTTTCGGAATCTAAGGGAGATAGCAAAATTTTTGTTATAACCTTTTTTGTAGAGCCGATTGAGAGCTATAACAAATGTCATAAAAAAAATTTCGCTATCTCCGTTAGATTTGGAAATATTCCTCAAAAACTCAATTGGGAGATAAGTCGACTTAAACCGGTTTACCACTTCGCTCCTGAATTGTTCTAAAAAATTTCTCTTCGTGTGCAATCAAAATTTCCCCGTGTCAATAGACCCACCGCATCATCAGCCTCTCCTTACCACACCAAAAAGAACAACAGTGCCGTTGTACCAGCAGCAACAGCAGCAACGATGTGACGCAAGAAAATGCGTTATCTTCATTGCCACCAGTATCCACAAATGCAAAATACAAATTGCACTCGATGCTACCTGCCCACTGGAGCATCAGTAATCATCATCAAGTCCATCTAGTACCACAAAAACTCGAGATCGATGCAGCTGCATCAGTCCCGCGTAAACAAAGCTGATATATCCTCCCCGAGAATCTCACAAACCCGTGAATGTATAATAAATGTGCTGGGTAAATGTCAAACGGACGCCTGATATTTCATGGTTTTTAATTAAAACGACCGTTAACTCTACCAACTATCAATCTCAATCGCTTCCGGTCTGATTCGTGTGACCTTGGCACGTCGTCCGTCGGTGCTGATCACTCGGTCGATTGACGGTATCATTGCACCCTACTCACAATGCCGCAACAGCATCACCAGTTACAAGCCAATTGTAGGCTGTGATTACAGATCAGTGTACTTGTCCTCAGTGTTGACGCACTGGTGGTCTTGCTATCGCGGTAATGACGGCGAAAACAGGACTCGAAAGCATGTGACCTCGTTGTCCTGGAGGGGTTGGAGCACGCTGTTACGTAGTTTTTTTTCGGCTCTCGGGTGAGGGGAACCTTTGATTTATTATGAAAACGAGGGGAAAAAATGAATCGGTTGTTTCGTGTGAGGGTCAGCCGAGGGATGGACGTCCTCTTGGGCGTGCACCGGGCGAAAGCTCAGAGCTTACTGAGAGAATGCCAGGCTGCGATCCAGCGATGGGGGCTGCGATAGAGGGACTCGTGTACATGGAGCTTTAAACGGTCGTGTGATGGTGGAGTGGTGGGTGTTGGTGTGTATTCGTGATACTTGTGTACATGGGAGCTCAGTGGTCGGCGCACTGTGTTGTCTGGCTGCTCGTGCAGTCGCTTGGTAGGGTGCGAGATCGATACTGTCGACTATGGTCCCGGACCAGCCAGCATCTACCCCCAGAGCTTTTCATGTATTTGTGTGACGCGAGCTGGCACTTCTGTGACGCCGTTAGCGGAATGTGGGATCGTTTCAACGTTTTTGGGTTTTGAATTTTTTTTTCGTGGGGAATTGAGGGGCTGATGCCATCGTGACAG